GAGGTCACAGTCACCCAGGCTGACCTCCTAACTCTCAGTCTCAAATTATTCTCCCACGTTGGTGCACTAAGTAGGTCAAAGTACAGGTAGGTATGCACCACCATGGCAAAGCTAATTTGAGTATTTAAACAGAGGTGGAGGAAATAACTATAAAACATGGTACTTATGGGAAACCTGATTTGGAATCTGAAAGTTTCAGGCTCTGGCACCTACTATGTAACCTTGGAGAAGTCACTGAACTTTCTCCTAGGACTAAAGGAGTCAGTCTTTAACATCTCTGAACACTAGGGAACACAGACTGAACACAATCTGTCCTTGCGCTGTTTGGAAGCTGAGGTGAGAGAAGGCAAGCGAAGGGCACAGCACCAGGTCATAAGCTTTCGATACCAGCTTGCCTTTGCACCTCACTTTACCCTAACATTATTTGACAAGTTATAGGGACTTTATCGTATATGAGGCACAGTGCTGAGCTCTGGGTTACAGCCCCAAAGCTTGGCTTAATTATATTAATACGTCAACCTTCAGTTTAAAAGCAACTGTACTCATTCACTGATTAAGTTCAAATGAGAAAATGCCTCCCATGAAGGGCTCAGTACAGTGTCCAGCGTATCAGAGCAGCTCCCTTAGATGTGGTGGATTGTCAACTTGTCACATCCACTGAACTGAGTCAGCGTGGTGCTAGTGTAAAGGCCCACCTGAAGACTGCATAAAGAGAACTCGCGAGGAAGAGGTGGTGCTATTGATTCTCCAGGAAAAGCATGTTGCATTGGTTTTCCCAATATGAACTCAGCTGTTCTCATACTGGAGGAAGTCAGGACCTCTTTGTCGCTGAGGATGGCTGAGGTTCACTTTGGGGGAGCTCTGTCCTTAACTGTGAGCACCACTTCCTGGCTCTGGAGGGGACAATGGCATGCTGCTGATTCTCCTGGAGAAGCTTGTCATGCTGGCTTTCCTAACATGAACTCAACTATTCTTATCATCTGAGGAGCTCATGACCTTGCTGTCACTGATGGATATTATGAAATAATTCTATAAATTACGTGTCCTGTTCCCTTGCAAACCCTGACTCCAACAGAAGGTAAGCTGTTGGGAGCCACAGCCCCGAGCCCAGTCGCCTCACTTGGCGGACGTGAGGCCTGTAGTAAAGAGTAAAGCCTGAGGTAGATTACCCCTCCCATCGAGCACGTTAGTTTCCTGCTTACCGCGTAAGCAACCCGCTCAACAATATAGTCTGCCTGGCAACTGATGATGTTAGCCAATCAGCTTGCCTTGCTCACTTTAACATGATTGGACACTGTATCCGTATATATACTGGTGCCACCCCTGGGGGGGAAGAAGAAGCCCGAAAGTAGAAGCCCAGAAGGAGCCGCGGGGAGCGGACCAAAGGAGGCTTCGGCTGGGAGCGATCCCAGGGCAGGCTGTACGGAGAAGGAAAATAAAAGAAAAGGTTGTCCACTGCCAGACTTTGTCGTGTGTCCTTCCTGCCGGCCGGGAGCGGACATCGACATTTGGAGGCCCGCACGGGGACTGATCACCCCCGAGACGTGACAGCGGACAACGCTCCAGTACAGAGCTGCGAGACAGGTGAGTTGGGGATAAGCCTGGGCTCTGGGTGGCGCGCACCTACAGGGCTTTTAGACTCCCCTCAGGCTCATGCGTAAGTGGCGGATTCCTTGGGCCTCACGCGGTGAGTAACATATTAAAAGATGGGAAACATGCTAGGTAGCAACACTAAGAGCGAGGGTGGTTGTGGAGAAAGCTCTCAAGAGCTTACAAAAGTACGCAGGGTATTTGAGCAGGCCCAGTCGGGGAGCTCCCGAGAGGGGCCCGTCAAGGGGAACAAAGATGCTAAGGAGAAGGACGGGGCTCTAGCCTCGGAGTCGTCTGACTCCGAGGACGAGGGAAAGTTGAATGGCAAGGAGGCCAAAGAGACCAGCTGTCAGGAGCCTAAGTCGCTCGATAAGGAGTCGCAGGGTTCTTTACCTTGGGGGCTGTTCCCGGAAGCGATCCCTCGCCACGAGGCGGCCGCCCGGGAGCTCCCTTCCTCTTCGCCAGAACAGGAAGTGATGCACGGGCCCCCATTTTCCGCCCAATCATGGCCGCCGTCTTATGCTCCGCCGCCGGCGGGTCGGTATTTTTACAGGCGGCTTTGGCAGGGGGGACATTTGTCTCATGAGGTACATCCACCACCTGGGATAGATAGTGGCCCCTACGGGATATTTCCTGTACAAGTAGCTATGGGCCAGGGACGCAATGCATGGGAGCCTTTTGAGATAAAGCAGATTAGAGAACTTAAAAATGCAGTTACAACCTTTGGGCCGACTGCGCCTTACACCATTGCCATGCTGGAGAACCTGTCTTCTGGGCCCCTCATCCCCGCGGACTGGATTCAGCTGGCAAAGGCGTGTCTGCCCTCGGGTAGTTACCTGAATTGGCGAGCCTGGTACACAGAGTTCTCTGCCGAGCAGGCTGAGAAAAACGCCGGTCGAGGAAATGGGGGCTGGGGATTTAGCTCAGCGGCATAAGCACCTGCCTTGCAAGCAGGCAATCGCCAGTTCGATCCCTGGTACCAATAAAAAAAAAAAAAAAAAAAAAAAAAAACGAAAAAGATAAAAATAAAAAATAAAAAATAAAAAACAAAAAGGGGGAGTAAGCCAAGGCCTGCCTCCAAAGGCGCGGTTATCTATGACAGGACAATGGATGGGCCCGGATCCAGTGGTCAGCTGGAACCGAGGCGCGGTTTGTGTTTTCCCACAGGAATCGGGACGAGAACCACTGTGGGTACCGGAGAGACTGACACGGGCGACAAAGCCCTCGACTGAAGATCAGACCTGCCCTACCGGAGATCCATCACAGACCAACCAACAAGATGAATAGAAATAGCGGTAGCCCGAAATGGACAAGAAGATCCTCAGGCATATGCATGGCTCGCTCGCCTAGCCTACGACCGAGTCTAGGGGCGGTGAGCTTCCCACACTCCTCCTCTAAAAAATTATGACATAGCTGGGTAAGAGAGTCAATGACGGGTAAGAGCGTACTCCCCCGGTGCGACTCAACCTAAGCCAGGCCCTACCCCATCCTGCACGTAAGCCGCTGGACTGTTAGATGCTGCCCAGGTCTAAATTTCTCTCCGAGGGGATTTCTTTACGGAGAGGAAATGAGTGCAAGCTTGTGTGCATCCAGGTTCCGTCCAGTTTGTGCCTGGCCCTAGAAAAAGGACGAGGGCCTCAGGGCCTTGGCAGACCATGGGACGGCCGACCAGGGTCTAAGCCAAGGACCTACGGTGGGCCTACGCATAGGGCATAAGCCTCTGCACCCAGTCCAGGAAGGGCTACGATGCGCACATTCATAAAAAATAAAAAAGGGGGAGATGTTGGGAGCCACAGCCCCGAGCCCGGTCGCCTCACTTGGCGGACGTGAGGCCTGTAGTAAAGAGTAAAGCCTGAGGTAGATTACCCCTCCCATCGAGCACGTTAGTTTCCTGCTTACCGCGTAAGCAACCCGCTCAACAATATAGTCTGCCTGGCAACTGATGATGTTAGCCAATCAGCTTGCCTTGCTCACTTTAACATGATTGGACACTGTATCCGTATATATACTGGTGCCACCCCTGGGGGGGAAGAAGAAGCCCGAAAGTAGAAGCCCAGAAGGAGCCGCGGGGAGCGGACCAAAGGAGGCTTCGGCTGGGAGCGATCCCAGGGCAGGCTGTACGGAGAAGGAAAATAAAAGAAAAGGTTGTCCACTGCCAGACTTTGTCGTGTGTCCTTCCTGCCGGCCGGGAGCGGACATCGACAGTAAGCCTCAATTTCTTGGTAAAACAGGAGGCTGAGAGGATTGACCGAAGTCTTTTCCTCTCTCCATTCAGCCATGTCCTTTGCTGCCAGCTCTCTCACCTCTAGGCAGTCCCTGAGTGACATCAAGTACCTGGCTCCACTAAAATTTTGGAAAGCCCCTGTGTTCGTCAGATTTCCCTTACTGTACCAAAACATCTGCGACAATTAACTTCAAAGGAGAAAGGTTCATTTGGGCTAACGGCATTAAATGCAGCTTCAGCACACAATCTGTTCCTGCTGGGCCTGTGGTATAGCAGTAGGTCACAGCAGGAGTTAGGGTAGAGCAAGTTGTTCATCTGGCAGCAACCAGAAAGCAAAGAAAACGAGAAACCAATATCCCACAATCCCCTCCAAAGACATGCCCACAGAAACCTAAGGCTCCATCCCTTGAAATCAACCACTTCCTAGCAAGAGTAAGCCTCTAAAACATGAGGCTCCAGGGGATATTTCACATCCAAACTATGGCAATTATAGAAGCCAAAGAGCGTGAAGGTTGAAGTAACTAGAACAAGAAACTAGTCAGGAAGAAGAGTAACCAGATGGAAGCCTAAGGGGTTCCTGGTACTGTCACCTTTTGATGTGGATGCTAGCAACATGGATATATTCACTCTTGAGGCACTCACATTTCAACACTGCTACAATTAGGTTTGTGTGTTTTTCCATATGAATTACAGCAAAATACAAAAAGCAGGAACGGCCTCTCCACATTACCTAATGCAGAAAGCCGTCCTTCCCAGTATGTGTGCACACAACATCATGAACAGTGGGTCAGTCCCCTGTGGCAGCAAGGGCAGTCTTGAGGGTACATCACAGGGAGCAGTCCAAATACCATCATTGGGTAGCATGGGCAGGCACTGGTCTCGAATACCAAAATAATGATCTCAATCATGTATCTCACGCACAACATCATCCAGGATAAATAAGGATCATCTCCAAAAGGAAAGAGTACATCACAGTTGCAGGTAAATACCCCTCAACTCCTCTCTATACAACTGAGGATTAGCCTTTCTAACATCATCCTCTACCTCACTCTTTCCTGATAGTGCGCAAGTACCTAGTATATCCCTCCCTTTCTCCCAACTTCCTTACCTAGTATCAATGGCAGAAAAACCTAGAACAACATTTCCATCACTTATCAAGCCAGTGGATATAACAACAGGATACAAATTGCTTTTGTTTCTTAAAGTTTATTATTTTTAAAAAAAAAAAAAACCCTATCTTTTTACATTTGTACATTCAGCTCTCAGAATATTTAATGGTAACAATTAATGATGTTTTATAAAAAGTCCACCCTTGCCTGAAACGGCTGCAGATTTGCTATGTTCTGGTATTAAAATGTGTTGCTCTCTGAAAAAATTCAGTATAATACTAAGTACCAAGATTCCAAATTCCCACACAAGAAACAAAAAATTTTAAGTAAGGGGTAAATTATTAGTAAAAATTCAAGACAAAGGAAACGTTAAAAGAAAAACAAAGACAGAAAATACTGTAAAAAAGATTCCCACCCACAGCAGCATTAGGTTATAAATATGCAATCAACCCCACCCCATCCCTGTTTCTGTAAGAAAAGCCACCCAGTCCTGAACACAGGGTCTCCTATACAAATATGTATAGCTTGATTTGCAGATCAGATTCTGGGACCTTAAGCTTGTTATAGTTAGAAGTTTAAAGTAAAAATTAGGCTAGATAATTAGTAGACAACCACAAATACTGAAATTCAAATGAATGGGAACACCTGGGCTTCAGTACGGCTATAGACGTCTACCTAGAAAGTATACAATAGGACGTCAGCTTGGGGAGAAAGGACACAGAGGGGAGGCACAAATGCCCCCATAAGGAGGCAAAATAAATATTGAGATACATTCTAAGAAAATGTTGGATATAACACTTGAGGCAGATGTCTCTAACAAACCACGCACACACAGGTTCTCAGTCAGAACTACCCGGACCAGCACTTGCCAACATGAACATGTGTGCTAGGCCTACGGTGAGCCCAATACCTCGTAAAGTAAGAAGGCCAGTGAGGCTGAAAACCAGCCCCTTTCACTCCAGCGATCTAAGAGTGTGCGTCCCTTCCTGGTTAAGCATCCGTCTACCACAGACGGAGCTCCCTTCATTAACGGAGGACGCCTGTCCCTGGTCACCACAGAGGTCTGTCAGAATAGTTCACTATCACTTTTTCTTCTCTGGGGTGACTAAATAAAAACTAAAGCTGCTATTAGGACTGTAACCTGTTATGCTGTGTTAGTACTGGTATTAGTGTCGGGACTGCTTACATTCCCCCCACTGTGACAAGGTCATGATTGAGTTGTGAAGATGCTGAGAAGGCAGTGGTAGGGTCAAAATCATGTCTAAATAAGGTCTCAGATATCCTCAATCATTACAGAAAATGGAAAGATGCCTGCACCCTGGTCTTCAAATAAATAGTTACTTAACAAAAGTGACACCAAGAAAAAAGGCCACTTGTTTCTGCTTCAGTGCAGAGTTCCCAGTGGCTAGCAACACAATCCTTTCCAATAAAAAGACACTTTGGCATACTTTTGAAGAGGTCAAGGAAGACAATCAGGTTGTTCTTTAGTTTCTTAGATTTTTGATGGCAAATGCATTTTGAATGTATCTAAATAAACTTCTATCATGCACTTGATGATAAACAAGTTATATGCTATGACACACATCAGTAACAATTCAAGCAAGAGAAGTTTCCCTTCAAAGCATAAACCCAGGACAAAGCCAAGGGGAGGCCTCTGCTATTGTGGCCTTGCTTCACTGTGGTGAACCTGTTAACAATGAGGGGATGAAGACTGAAAAAGAAACAGGACACCCAGGGAGCCTGTGATAACCATTATCATTTATCCTGTTTTCTAAGTAAGACGAACACAAATTTCAATAAAGGAAAATGGATATAAATTAAAACAAAAATATACCTGTACAAGTCTTTCCTCTGGGAACCCTTTGGTCTCCATGGAAGTCAGAACTTGGGAGGTGATTTATCATCACAGACTCCCAACTTGCTGTGCGGACGTGTATCAAGAGAAAAGGAATAGGAAAAGATTCCACTGGGCTATGAGCAAGGAACCAGTGGACTTACAAAGATTTCCTAAAACGTGTAAGCTCTACTGACTGTCCAGGGAGATGCTAATAAGTTAGTGCCAAATGCCTGGCGCCTCAAGATGGCAGCCAGAATACAAAAGCCCACCATCCAGTGAGCCAATCACTTCTCCAATCAAGGGGCAGAGAGAAGAAGCAGGGAGTGCAGGCAAGGTTGTTTCATCAGAGCTCATCAGGAAGAGGCAGGTTTGGGGGCAGCCTCGGCACAGCTTTCCTAGTCTCCAACCGGGCCAGATCTCCTATGAGTGCGCAGGGCCTGGTGACAAGCTCTGTGGTGCGGAATAGCCAATGTGCGATAATGGTACCAGCACCGAAAGTGACACTTGCATTATGCAGTGAGTCTACAGATCGCTGATTATTACACTATCAATCTCCCCACCCTGCCTATGAGAGAACCTAGATGATCAGCCTGTGACAGGTGCTTACTTCTATCTATTTAGGAACTAGGGAGGAAAAGGAATTACAAATGAAAACTTCTGCAATTACCACTTCTTGTTCCAGCCTGAGCTAGAATAAGTGTGTCTGACTAAATCACCTGCATTAGATAACATTTAAAATATGGTAACTTCAACACATTATGAATGTGAAATGTCCCCTATCCCAGCTCCATTTACTATAGTGCAGTCTTCTGTCGTTCAGCCAGGGGAATGGGTGGCATGTGCCAGATGTTACACAGGCATTTATTTCTCTGAGATGGCTGCGAGCCAGGAGAATTAATCTCCTTTTGCTGGAACCTCTGCCCCAAGCTGCTGGGAAAACAGTGAATTGGGCTTGACAAGGGAAGCAGCTACGTGATCCACTAATCAGATTCAAAACATGAAATGCACTGCAGCGTATATTCCTTCCTGCTCTTTTTCACAGGAGAAAGACCTAAAGATAATTAATTAAAAGGCCTATCCTTTCAAACTCAAAGGAGGGTTTTTAAAAAGGTGTTAGCAAAAAATAAAGAAATCAAATAAAACAAACTCCCAATACTCCTGAAAGTTAAGAGTCCAGCGCTGACAGGTGTCTAGAAGAAGTCGAGGCGGGAAAGAATGACAGAAAGATGCAAGTGGCCAGCCACAAAGTGCCTTGCAGAATCCACAACAGGGTTCTCCATTTCCAAGGCCAAGTAGTTATTCCCGGTAAGTTAAAAATTTTCTAGTAAGAAGAAAACAAAACAAAAATAAAAACCACTCCAGAAAAAGGGTGAAGGGAAGAGGGACACTGTAGAAAGTCAAGCCGCTGACCGCCGGCGGATCACAAAGAGCCCACGCTGAAGCTGGCCCAGATAGATCCTCATCTTGGTGCTGTCGCTTGTCTTCCTCACCCAGATCTGCGGGGACAGGAGAGGAAGCAAGAGGAGAAGCTGAGAAGCACTCAGGGGCAAATCTCCCAGAGCATTACAGCGTTTGCATGAGATAGGCTGGGGAGAAAACTGACCACCTCCACCTCAGGACGAATGGGCTATCTCAACGCCTGAGGCTTCACAAGCACGCTGTGACCATGGCCACTGTGAAGGTCCACCTACGTCAGCCCTGCACACACTCCTCCCCCAACAGGCCCCATGCCACTGACTAAGAAACCAGCACAGCAAACTTGGGCTCCACTTTCTCCCTGGGTCACAAGGGTACCCCACACACACATACACACACTGGGCCACCCCACTGAGCTATGCCCAATCCCCAACAGCTTTACGTATATACACATGTGTGTGTATACCTATTTAATTTTGAGACAAGCTCTCACTAAATTGCCCAATCTAGGCTCAAATTTGTGATTACGTTGCCTCAGCCTCCCAGAGTGCCAGGACTATAGATGTGTGCTGTCATGTCTGGCTTTGTCATAAGGACTCCGGATTCGGTTTACAATAGGCTTAGCAATATGCAACGAATGTACATTCATGAACATAAACTTCCTGTCAAATTTAAAAATGCTTTCCTTGCCGCGAGGGACTTCTATATCATCTAGCCTTCAATACCGTTTCTTCTGATTAGGGTTAGTTAAGGCTAATAGCTGTGATGGAAACAGGAAAAAGTAACACCATCAATAAAAAGCTGCCCTGAGGGAGCTGGGGCCCAGTAAGGATTCAAAAAAGCTAAAGAGGTTAAGACAGTCTTCCCTCCTCACCACCTCCTTCCCCCACAGAAGGCATCAGACTTGGTTCACTTTGCAGGGCACACATGTGGTGCTGCATCAACTCCTGCCACAGGGGACTGCCAGAGCCAACAACTGCACTCAGCGAGTGGCACCCTGCAGCCAGGGGAGGAGGAAGAGGCACCTGAGCAAGTGAGCAAGGCCTCCTGCCCTCCACACCATGCCCAGACACCGTGCCTATCACACTAAGCTGCTTCAGCCCAGAACAAGCCTGTGGAGTAAGTGGGCCCCATTTTACAGACGAGACAAAGCCTGGAAAGGCTAAGTGACTTGTCCCGACTGACCCCAGAGCCTGACATCAAAGCCTTTTGGCTCTTCTCCGGTAAACCAGCCCAACTCTTCTTTTTACCTAGCTCTCAGTTGACGTGCAATTGAATGGAAGGAACTCAAGTCTGAGTTTTTGAAAGGTCTGCATTTCATCTACACAACTCTAAGTTTGCAGATGTATCCTCCTTCCCCCACTGTTTTCAGGTTTTAAAAAAGCTTGTTCTGGGGCTGGAGGTTTAGCTCAGCGGCATAAGCACCTGCCTTGCAAGCAGGTGGTCGTGAGTTCGATCCCCGGTACCGATAAAAATGAAAAAGACAAAAAAAAAAAAAAAAAAAGCTTGTTCTAAATAAGTAAATACTTTAAAAAAAAAAAAAAAAGCTTGTTCTCAGTTTCACCTAAGTTTCTTTGATGTGATTATTCAGCAACAGACAGACTTTAAAATCAAACACACTGATTTAAAAATGAAACAAGCTAAAGCTCTTACATAAAGCTGAGTCTCTAAAGGAACATGCAGAACCATTTCAAACTGAAAACTGAACCCAAGAGGCTTGAATCAGGGAATCACTAACACACTCAGAGCTGCCCACCAAACCTGCCCAGAGCCGAGTTACATCACAACCAAGCAGCTCCCACATCACTCAGGAGCTGAGCTGAAAGACTTCTAAGAAATAAGAGCTGCTCTCCCCTCACCACAGCTGCAAGCCTGCAAAGCCCAAGGTTTCTTCCTTACCCTCCCAAGCTGCCATGGACCCGCTGCCATGGCATCATTCCCTCATCACATCTCACAAACACTCTTTCATGGCAAGAAGTGTCAACCTCAATGGGAGGGCTGGGTATGAAGCAATCGAACATCCATTTCAATTTTTCCTGAGGTGCCACAGAGGAGTACAAGGCAGCAGTTCTGAAGCTGGGTTTAGGTACCAGGAAGTCACATGTGTTTTTGCCGAGCAGCCCAGGAGGGCAGGAACAATTGCTCCATCATCCAAGTGAGGCACCTCCTCTTCAGCCCCTGGTCCTGGCTCTGGCTGGGCCTGAGGTGACCCAGATCCTAAGCCCAGAGAAGGGTGACATTCACTTATCTAGAAGACTCTTTTGAACTTTTAAGTAAACAAATCATTTTGCAAACTAGTCACATTTGAGGGCATTTTCAGTTCAGGAAGCTGGGAGAATACAAGAGGCTTAAGTTATTTCATAATCCAGTTTCATTAGATTTACTGTGCACTGGCATGAATAAGTTACAGAGGGTAGACACGTAAAAATCAATTTCTTTGCAGACATTTGCAGACTGATAAAAGATCAAGCCAATCCAGGTATTAAAGTTTTAAACCTTCTTTAACAATGCAAGTTAGATATTGCTGGACACCCACCCTCCTAATGAAGGGCCAGGTGGAGAGCTCATAGGGTAGTCACATGATGTTTGGGTACAACTCTTAAAAACAGACCCTGTCAGCAGGAGACCAATGTCCAAGCACATGAGCCTGGCAGCCTGCTATTCAGAAGCACAACAGGACATATCAGGTGGCACAGAGCACAGTCTAGCAGTTATATGCTGACTGAAAGTGCACTCACTCAATGAGCACTTACTGGGTGCTGGACCTTGTGCCAGGTGCCTCATTAAATCCTCATAGCAAGATACAAATCTAAAAACTCTAGGGCAATAACACAACAAAGCTGGAGCATGCTCCACCGACTAACGCCATTCTTAGTAGATAAGCTGCAGCATCAAGGGTGGGAATGTACAGGCCTCACACAGACTTGCCTTCTGCTCTCCCCTACATTGTACCTCATGGCTCCCAGATCAATTACTGCAGAGAGGGCTCACCAATACCACCAGGAATACACAGAGCTGCAAATACTGGACGCAAACCAATATATGGGGTAGATTTTCAAGGGTGACTCCAACTATGCCACAAAGCATTAACGTCTGAATTCAACCCACATATTAGACATGACTCCACTGGAGTTGTTGGTGGAACTTTCATTTCAGGTTTGTCATATTTTCCACTCTTCACAGAGCACATTCTGTTTTCCTCGGGGTGAAGAAATTCAGTCCCTACCTCATTGGCTCCAACTGAGCTGATGACGCAGCTCAGTTTCTGGTTATCCTTTGACTCCAGATAGATGGCTTGGCTCTTATGGTACCTGCAAAAACAGGGCACAAATGTAAAAAATATATATAAAGTGGTCTTAATAACTGGTATTTGAGCAAGAGTTGGAACTTCAGAGGACTTCTGGGTTTTCACCCTCAGAAGAGATTAAACTTCTGAATCCGACAATCCTTGGCCCCTTTGCAAAAGGAAAGTAGCAACTGAAGAAAGAGCTGGAAAACTATGATTTACTCTTTCACTATATCACCTAGTTCAAAAACTAAATTAAACATTTATCAGTAAAATCTGTTTCCACTTTCTGGCCATTCCCCTCAAACACTGAAGATAGCTATGTGAACAAAACACATGGTTAGGCTTGAAGAATTGTTCTGTTACTTATTTTCGGTGCAAGTAAGGTATCCACAGAAAGAAGGCTGAATTCAGTCCTTTATTCATTCACTCAAAAATGACCACCAAGCACTTACTATATACAACTGACTACCCTGGAGGTTGGTATAAAGACCGAACAAGGCCACAGAGCTTCAAGCAGAATGCGGGAACATTTCATAATCACATCTGCAAACGCTAATGAGGTGAGGCTTTGAACGTCATGTCAAGTACCAAAAGGTATCGGACTTGGCATGCGCTGGCCTAGAGAAGCGGGAAAACTGCTTTAAAGGACACAAGACAGATGCTCCTTTGCAGCCCTACTCTTTTGGCCTGCAGTACAGAATCACTTCCAACCTACAGAACTTCATCCTACCAAGGATGAAGGCCAAAGCTCAAATGAGACAACGGGATGAAAGAGCAGCTGCTGGCTTACAAGAGTTAGAAATGTAAGCTAAACTGCTGCTGACAGCGCTGGCCTGAGCCGGCCCCAGTTCAACTGACAACATTACCTTAGGTCAACTCTGGCTATAAAAACCTAGCTACACCCATCTATACACCCATGTAAAGCCTACCGAAACACATCTCCCAGGAAGAATTGCATCTTCTCCTTGGCAGATTATGATCTGCTGATATAATGAAATAATCTAATGCCCAGATACCACCTTTCAGGATACTCTTCTCACCCACAGTGAGCTTTCTCTAATCTAGGTGCCACGCACGCTTTAACCTGCTATTCAGGCACTGAAAACACAGATTTCCAAGTCAGTTTAGCTGATGAAAACATTGTTTTAAAAAAGGGAATTATAAATGCAACAAGAACAGAGAGATTGGTTTAGATCCAACTTTTAAAGCTGTTTTGGCCATGTATTGGCTGGCAAACTGGGTCAGAGGACCTTCACTATTCTAAACAGGTTGCATCACAAGGTCCAAATTGTACAATGCGTACAGCCACACCATTAATATGAACTAATATGAACTAATGTTCACAGCAATAGTCTAACATTTCCCTTGGTTTCCCTCCCACATCTAAGCCAACTACACTATGTAAACCGCAATGTCTTGAGTAATGTTTAGAATTAAAATGGAAAGGAAAACGAATACTCACAGTTAATGTATGGAAACTGTGAGTTACTAAAGAGATACACATAAGCACCTGCCTGGCAAGTGTAAGGTTCCAAGTTCTATTGCCTGTACCAAACAAAAAAAAAAAACACAGACAGAAACACAAAACAAATTGTAGCTAACCTAAAGTCACTGATTCTACTTTCTAAATAATAAAGAAAGGTTATGGGCGTGGTGTGAACATATATTACCTCATGGAAACAAGATCAATATAGAGCCAAGTAGAGCAAACACTGTCTGCTCTACTCCTGGACTTCTAATAAAGCACAACATTTGACTGGTTTCACAGAGGACACCAGGAGTAAAGACTGATCCAGTTCGTCACCTCTAGTCTCTCATTACCAGGTGTGGCCTGATGTCCACCATGGTCCCCAAGTGCTTCACAGGACAGCTGGCCCGCATGCTTCCCAACAGCAAACTTCCAAACCACTGATCCCCAGTTCCCAAGATGGTCAGGGGATTCTCAGGCACCAAATAATGATCTTAGGGAAACACTATCTGGACATCACATCTATTAAATTATCTGAATTCTCTGAAAAGTCCTCAGAATCTACAGTGTTCAGATGGGTTTTTTTTTTTTTAAGATACAGACAAAAAGTATACAATAACCTTTATAACCTCACTTTTCAAATTTTAAAGAAAAATAAAAGGGGAAAGAATTCAAAACATATTTAGAAATAATATGTTTAAAAGCAACATCAATAGAACCAATTTAGTAAAAGTGTCATCTTTTTGCCAATTAAATCCATTTTACAAGCTACAACTCAGCTGCTAAAAAAATTTATTTTTTTAAATGGCCTCAGAGAATAAGTCCTAAATGTCAAATTGACTTTATTGCTAATGGAAATTCTGACCTGGGAATCCCTACAATTAAGCTCTTAAAGCTCTGTGCCTCACTATTAAACCCAATGAACTAGAATTACTCTACTATTTTGGAAGAAAGCAATTTTTTCAAAAGGTAGCTCCAAAAGTAGGGCAAGGGGGTGGGAGGGGAGAAGTGATTGAATTTTCTATCCCGCTGGGAACCCTAATATTAACATTCCGTTTTCCCAAAACTGAGTCCACATTGTAACTGTAGAATCTCAAGGGTCCGGATTCTAGTTGGAAATACTGTTTTAAGAGTCTTTGTATCAACAGAGGGCTGGAGAGTTAATATTACTTGAGTTAAGTGGTGACTTCATTTCTGATTTGTATTAGTAGCTCCAGATTTTGTTTGTTTGGAGATTTTCTGTTTGTTGTTTTTGTCTTTTTTTAAGACAGGGTCTCACTAAGCAGGCCTTTAATTCACTTTGTAGCTCAGGCTGGTCTTGAACTCAAAGCCATTCTCCTGCCACAGCCTCCCAAGTGCTGGGATTATAGGCGTTTGCTACCATGCCAGGCCAGCAGCCCCAGATTTGGGGGGCGGGGCAGGAATCAGTTATTTTAAAATATCAGCTACTTTTACAGTGTTTTCTGAGAGGGTTCATTAGTTCAAATCAAAATGTGAGGGGAAGGGGCTGGGGATTTAGCTCAGCGGCATAAGCGCCTGCCTTGCAAGCAGGCAGTCGTGAGTTCGATCCCTGGTACCGATAAAAACGAAAAAGACAAAAAAAAAAAAAAAATGTGAGGGAAACTTAAGAGTATGACATAAAATGTTTTAAAAGCAGTAAAAGACCAAGGCAAAGGGAAGACACTTATCTTCCAAAATGATATGTAGCTTGATAAATGTTCACACCAACATGGGAGGCCTGGATCACACTTATTTTACTAAAGGCATTGAAAACTCAATGAAACATGTTTCACCACAAACACTGCTGTAAGAAAAAATTCCACGCCATGGAAGGAACACACAGGGATTTGGCTGAACCCTTGACCACAGGCCATGCCTGCTGAAGAAGAAAAATGAGGCCTCCAAAGGGACAGAGATAGAAAAGTCAGGTGAAGGGCCGGGAGAGGAGTGAGCGGCTCACTCTGCTCCAGTGAAAGCTGCCAGCAGGACACCCAGGGAGCCATGAACAGCTACCGGGAAGAGAGGACTCACCTTGCAACTATTCATTACGAGCCCTGACTGCTAGAGCTAGCAAAGAAAACCACACAGAATATAAAGGAAAAACAGCATCCTCAAAATATATTTAGCAACAGAATAAGCAACTCCTAATTCATTGGAAAAGTACAACGCTTCCTGAGGCATTCCTCAGCAAATGCCTTCTGCTGACATGAGAAACACAGCAAGCTCCCTCCTGCCTGCCTCATACATCACTCTGACCACTTGGTTTCCTTTACGAATGTCCATCTTTTGGATCTTTAATAAAGAAAAACAAGAATTTTATTTTACTGCATTTTTTCCAGACACGTCTCATAAAGCCTAGGGACTAAGTCTAGAAAGGGGAAGATCTGAAGCGATGCAATTACAAAATGAGCATCGTTTGAAATATCACAGGGCTGGAAGACTCACAGATCCGTAAAAATGGTAGCGATAAAGCTCATCATTTTAAAGACAGTTGTTATATGTGGGCCTCATCTTTAAAGGTTATTTGGTTTTCGTTATTAGAGACATTTTTCATCTTACTTTGTCCCATAGTGCTGAGCAGCTAGCACCTGCCACCTAGTGGCAATATGTCCAGACTAGGAGCAAAGCTAAGAAAAACACTGACAAGAATGCCGAAGAGCCAGATCTGAGGGGCGGAATTCTCCAAGATCAGGCCTATGGTCAAGGCAAGCCTCCTTCATCCACTTGGATAACTAACGCAGTGGAAATTGTTTAATTCAGGCAAAACTAGCTCCCTAAGTCTTTCTTTATGTTTCGTTTTTTGAGGGGTTGTTTTTCTGTTTTTGTTTTTTTTGTTTTTGAGGCAGGATCTCGGGATGTAGTTCAGGCCGCCCTTGCACTCACTGTGTCATTCAGGCTGCTCGAATCCTCCCGCCTCAGCCTCGAAAATGCTCAGATTACAGCACCACCCCTGGCCTCTCTAAACTTTTTTTGCTTGTTTTGTTTTTTTGAGACAGGGTCTCACTGTAGTTCAGGCTTACTTTGAACTCACAATGTGGCCCAGGCTTGGCCTTGAGTTCATGGCAATCCTCCTGTCTCAGTGTAATAGGCATGTACCACCACATCCAGTTTCTATAAACATTTGTTACAAGAACAGTTAGTCCTCTATAGGTTCACATCAATGGATTCAGCCAACTGTGGGTAAAAAATATTTGGGAAAAAGTTTTCTCTGCACTGAAGATGAACATTTTTTACAATAGCAATTATCAATATTATATTCAATATTTTAAGTAAACTAGGTGTGATTTTAAATATATAGGAGAAAGTAAGGCGTGGTGGTGCACAACTATAATCCCAGCACTTGGGAGGCTGAGGCAAGAGGATTACTGCAAGTTCAAGGCCAGCCTAAGTTACATAGTGAGTTCAGGGCAGCCCAAACTATACAAGACCCTGTCTCAAAAAACCAAAAAAGAAAACAAACAAACAAAAACTCAGAGTCTACCAAAACAACACATACATCAGGAAAAAAAAAAAAAGTGTAGATATTTTAATACTAAATTTGTTGAGACATGAAATTAATACAGGTCACCTTTGGCCTGTACAATTATAAGAGGTGTTCAAAGTGGTGGCCACTAGCATATGGATATTTGTCACTGCAGCGAAGTGTACAGTGTGCATACACTTGATAGTCTGTACGTTTGGAGGCTGCCTTAGGTTACACACAAACATGATGCCATTTATAGAGGGGACATGAGCACCTTCAGATTTGGGTGTCTATGTGGTCCCAGAATCAGTTCCATCTGCACATAGTGGGATGACTGTACTATCTTGTAAGGACTAACATAATGCTCAAAAAAGGCCATGATCACTTACTTTTGGAACCTTTGGCTAAGTAAAGGGTTATTACATAGCCATTAATAATGGTAGTGACCATACAATGACCCAGAGAAAAATGTTCTCAATTTAACTCAGTAAAAAGGTAGCCCATAACCACGTGTCCACCTATGACTCGAAGTAAGAATGTGTCCATATAGAACAACAGAAGGACAGAAATACTGTGTCAGAATGAAGAGCTGTGAAAAGATGGCAGGATCCAGGGTGATTTAATACCTAGCAGAATACCTAATACAAAGGACAATAAATATTTGTTGAAAATAAATAAATGCATTAGCTAGGCTCATGCATGGTGGCTCAGGCCTGTAACCCCAGCACTCTGGAGGCTGAGGTGAGAGGATCCTTGTGAATTCAAGACCAGCCTGGGCTACAAAGTGAGCTCAAGGCCAGCCTAAACTGCATAGTGAGACCCTATCTCAAAAAAGACAAAAATAAATAAATAAATAAATGCCCTTTAAAGTTTTTTCCTATTGTTTTGTTACTTTTCAATAAAAAAACATTTGGCAATCTAAAAATTTCTAGTAGTATTCAATTTAAATGAATCATGTTTTAAGATATAATTCTCCAAGTAGGTTTTCTGGAACACTTTTGCAAGATAAAAGAATAGAGATGTCAAATAAAAAAACACCTAATACCATCTTAGGAATTCACAGGTACGTTATCATATCACAAGACCTAAAGACTGCTATAAGAAGAGAATCCATTTATCTTAATTAACAGGATCATCCCCTAAACTGGTGTGACCACAAAATCCTTTTATCTGTAGAACACCTATTAATTTTAGCATACAGGAACAGAGTTAAGAAGTGGTGCAGGAAATATACCCTGGCACTACTGGGCAGAGGTACCACAAGACATTAGCCTGCAAATTCTAATACAGTACAGTGTCAGTAGGAGGGAGGGCAGTGGAGGCCACCATCCACAGAACCCATCCTGGGAAACAGATTTCAGAAGCCAATTAAAAGTATCTATCAAATGAGGGCTGATGCACAGTACTATATCCACTTTAAAACCTAAGTTAAGCAGCCATACTCTGAAATAACAACTCTAGGAGCCCCAGTCCTCTCCTTCCACTAGTTCTTTTCAGACTCCTAAAAGCAGTCCATCTTTTCTCATAACTTACCATCTTTTATCATAGTACAACTTGCCATCTTCTATCCGAGCCTCTAATCTCTGGGCTGGAGATTCTGCAGGTGTGGCAGGCAAGTGTTCGGGAGAGGACGGGGTTGCTGAAGAAGATAACAGATGTTTCAGTCCAGTAGCCAGCATGCTTTAACTGAGACCCCAGGTGCTAATAATCGTGACTGCTGAGTCCTTACAGTGGGAATGCATGGGAACCTAACAAAACTGCAGGCCAGAATGCGAGTGCAGTGGCTGCTCATACGCAAGATCCCACTACCGAGCAGAGCAGCATGTGCACAATGGGTCTCTTGCTCCTGGGAGGTCGCTACATTGTGCTAAACTTAGTGTCAGACCCCAAATCGGCATAGCATACTATTAAATTCTTGTACATTACTTCTAACTGTACCTTCAAACAATCCTCTGAGGCAGGCAAGGCACAGATTAACGTCACAAACCAGGAGAAACCTGAAGCTCAGGGAGGTTACGGTCAAATGTACAAATGCACAAGGTCACTTAGAATAGGATTAATACCTTAATACCTAGAATAGGATAATACCTTGAAGCTCAAAAGCTCTAAAAAATGAAATCATTCTTAGAACTAAGGTAGGTTCAATGATTTAAATGTACACCCTTATACCCTATCATGCCTCAGCAGCTCAGGACATCTCTGCAGACTATGGCAGCCCACAGGATATTAGCTGGAGAAAGAACAATCTTGTTTTTCTTCCACAAAACTCAGTAAGCACAGGGATACCTGAGTAATTCCAATGCTCAGGACAACAAAAGACATTACCTGTTTGGAATTTTAGCTTGCAAAGAGCACTGCTGCCGAGTGCTACTGGGTGAGGGACCCACTGTGAATACTGAGGCGGCCTTGCTCTCTTCTACAGACTGGAACTCAGAGCAGCCTGTGAAGCCTCACAGGTAGGCCATGAAAAGCCACTAGAACAGTCATGCCTAGCACTTAATTCCAGAAAGTGAGGAAGACTGAAAAATCCTGTGGTTTAATTTTCAAAACTAGATATGTACTTGAACCTTATGCCTGCACAAAAGAAAACCTTCAATAACCAATCAAGTGTTTGTTTCACAATAAATTCTAAGAACAAGACAAAAATAACACAGTGGGGCTTTAAAAAAAAAAAAAAAAGAATAACATACTTAAGGTTCCTTTCAGTTTCCATGACTACTCTTAAGTAAGTGAACATTTTACTTTTAAAAATTTCAGTGATTCCTTGACAGATTTTCACAGGCTTTTCCAACAACATGATAAAAAGATTTCACAAATATCAATAACATTATGTACTTACCTGGTCTCTTGGGTGACTTAAGCTGTAGAAAAAATAACAAAAAAAATCTTAGAGAAAATCATTTCAGATGCAACTTCAGGTGTCAGAAATGCCACAATGACTTAACAAAGTAATGTGGATAAGGTAAAGCAGAAAACCATGACAAGCCTAAGCTGTCAAGTATTTTTTTTAAAATCAAACTGCAAATTCCCATGATGAATCTTATCACTATGTATATCTAAAGTGTACCAATAAAATAAAAAGGAAAAAGAAAAGAAAAAGAATCAAACTGTACCTTATTTAATGTTCTCAGATCCTCCATAATCTGCTCATCAGTTAACAAATAGTTTAGCTGAGGTGTTAAGAGTTAAAGGAATATGTCTGAAAATATGGTTCCCACAGAAACAGAAATCAACAAAATGGTACCAGTATTTTAGAACTGACAAAGCATGACCATGTTAAATGACATTTTTGTATCTCTTAATTCTTAGAAAGTATAACTTGATTCTTAGAAAGTTGAATCTCCTACTAAGTGTCATGGTGACCAGTATATACATTCTCCATCCCACAAACTGCAATGAAGTTCAGAAGGTAGCTACAATACCGTAACAGTGAAAGCACAGAAAACAGTAAAATGACAATTTCACCCCACATTTATAAAGTACGCTTGTTCCAAAATCTGAAGACTTTGGCTGGGGATTTAATAGCTCAGCGGCATAAGCACCTGCCTTGCAAGCACACGGTTGTGAGTTCGATCTCCGGTACTGATTAAAACAAAAAAAAATCTGAAGACTTAATATACACACACACCCACACACATACACACAATGTAAAAGTTAGTCTTCCAAGGCAACTTAAATCCTTAATTTCAAAGTTGAAGGGAAGTGAAGTTACATCTTTTTCTAGTGGTAAACGAACAAATGAACTATTCAAGACAAACAGCTTTCATTACCCTCTAGAGGGCCACTTCTCTCCATGTGTCCCATTCCCATGGCCTGTTTTTATGATTAAAGAGCTTTTTTGTATTAAATAAAATCTCACTTGCTATAAGAACAATTCGCTGTGTTAGAAAAGGAGTGTGTGAAGTATAAAGGCAGACATAATTATCTTTGTCTTACTGTGGAAAGATTAAGGCACCTCAACTTTTCAGCTTTTCCTGAAATTTGTCAAATTTCTGACACAAAGTACTTTCCAAATAACCACTTTCTGTAAGTTTTTCCAGCTAAAAGCAGTGGCAATTGAGGATTCCAAATGGCCAACCTCTGTCCCATGGATAAATATTGACATGTTTTCCCATCCAGTATTACTCTTTTGTAGGACATTCACCGTGAACACTCATCACAGTGGTGGTGAACCACGGCACGCGCGCTGCAGCAGGCTTCTGTCATCATTGAAAGCGCTAAAGGTTCACCACCACCGCCCCATCAGATGTACAATAAAGGACTCAATTCTCTTAAGGGAAAAAAAGTGATGAAAGCATGACATAAATGGATATCAGGAGCAGGTTTTCTCCTCTTGTCTGGGATGGGGACAGGATCATTTGGTCGCCTCCTCAACTTTCTGGTCATGATGGGTTTCACTTCCATAGAATCTGTGGCAAGAATGGAATGGGTAAATCTATCCAGCTCCCACTTGCAGTAAGAATTCCTACAGAGCCTCACAGCCACCCAACCCAAACTGTTTTATTGTGGATGTCTGGTCTATGCAAGTCCAAGTCAGATGCCAAGAACAGACTTGAGCAAGGGTATATGCTTACAGCATTCAAATTATCTACTCTAGTAGGTACACACCCTCCTTGGAAATGCAGCCTTCTACGACTACAGCCGTGGGAGGTGACTAACACTAGTGGCTATTCTATCTTCCCTTCAAATTAAGAAGCCAGGCTTTTGGAACTGAAAAGAACAGCAGGTCATTTCACCGACTAACTTCCACTGTTCCCACGGAGGGCGGGGGCCTAAAGCCCACTGGCACAAAAGGCTCTTTGACAGGCCACTGGCCTCAATGCCAACATTTTTATACTGAGTTTTCATTTACAAACTTGACTCTTTTCTAACCATGAGCAGCTACTTGACTTCACAAATGATAGAATGAAAGCACACAATAAAGCTTCTTGTCACCCTTCCTGCCTTCTCTCTGTAGTCTGACCCTGCCACTGACTCCCCCACAGCTCTCCTCCAACAGTCACCCAAATCTCTGCTGATTTGCCCTTTGGGGTCCTTTTTGGCTGGCCTGCTTCTTCATCCTGGTAATCTCTGGGATCTACTCAGTCCTCAGCCTATACACCACTGAATGTTCATTCCTACTCTCTGCTCTAACAGCCCTCTGGATGGCAATCCACACTCCCTGGGCTCCTGGCAAACTTTTCAGTGACATCACTCCATGCCCATCAAGAGTCTCTCCCTTAACAAACCCATCCCCTCACCACCATTCCCTCAAAGTGATGTCAATTGCTAGGATCCCTAAGACAGATATCAGGTCACCTTTGCATACTGTTCACTTTTCAATAGGTATTTCAAAGGCTTACTAGAATCCACAGAACAAAAGCCAAGCCTCTCTTCTATTCTTCTTCACTTCTTCATTCACACTCAACACTTTTGGCTCTTGTTATCCAAAGACACCACACTTTCAGGTCATCAAGTCTTTGTATACTATTCTCTCTGCCTTGCCTCCTCTCTATTCCCCAGCAAATGCCTACATTACACCCTTTGAAACAATGCTCAATATTCTCTTCCATGGGCAGAGGTTCATCCCACTTCCCCAGGAACGAGGGTATTTGTGCCAACCTTTCCACTAGGCGTTGGATGTGCAATTCCACCACAGTATGAAATGTGTCCTTACCCCAGCACAAGTTTCAAGAACCAGATGAACTCAAGCTGATCACAAGATAAACTTCATTGACAAATATGCACAAGTATCAGCAAAGCACAACTCTACCACAGGAATGTGTAGGATCTTAAGAGCATGTAACAAGTGCATTACACAAACTTAGAAGATGTTTCTGCATGTTGCTCTTAAAACAGACATGAATATTCCTGATTTTTTTCCTATGAGAGGAACAGGGGTAAAATAAGAACCATATACCTAATAAGTATTTATAAAAGTAGACTTGGAAGTGGGGTTAGGAGGATACACATACCCTTGGGAAGAGGGGGAAGCTTTCTCCCTACAAGAAATCTCTTACCCTCTGCTGAGATGCTACCTTGGTCTAGTCACTCGCTGGTGGCACAGCACTATGGTTGAAAATATGAATGTCACACCTACAGGCCTGACTCCCTGCAGCAGCTGCGTGACCAGGCAAGCTATGGAAATGCCCTGTGTCTCAGGCTTCCTCATGTAACACAGGGTGCTCACAGCTGTGAGGGCTACAAAGACAGGACACATGAAGTCTTAGCACAGTCACTAGTCTAGCAAAGCACAACTGAGGCTGGCTTTTATTATCATGATTTCAAGGAGGAAAACATTTTACAAAGATCTTTTTAAAAGGATAAGGTGAAAACAGCTGTGCAGAAGCTGAATATCACCAGGCAGCTGACAGCAACTGTGATACAATGCAGTATGCAGAATTTAGCAACCGAAGTGTGAAAGGAACACACCCACTCCAAGTCAGCACCAGACAAAAGCAGTGTCCTGTGAACCCTGCAGAATGTTCTATTCCGCAAAGAGCAGCTGAGTGTGCCCGCTCCGCAAGCTGCCAACACAGGGACAGGAGAGGTAGGCAGCATGCCACAACCCAACAGAACCAAAACCAGCCAGGCCACTAAACTGAAAAGTCATAACCACATACTTATAAATTAGAATATGTAGTCAAATTCTTCTTAAAAGTAGTGAAAAGTCAATCCATTTTATTAGCCTGGTCACATGAATAACCTGGTGAATTTTATCCAAATGACTGCTTCTGCAGGAGGAAGTGCTCTGAGGAAGCCCCTAAAATGTATCAGCATGTCTCTACTGCCACCTAGGAGACAGCAGGCACCAGGAGCAGGCCTGGCCAGCAGCACACACGGGAGAGGTGATTAAGTGAGAGATCAGCTTAAGTATACAGCCGCAGCACCACCCAGTATGTAGATTACACACTGATCTCACCTTGCTTCAGTTGCAGGCTTGGCTGGCTGGTTTGACAGTAGATTTTTCAGAGAGGGATGGCCTAGTCCAACCATCTGCGTGAGAATCTGCCTGACAGTTCTATGTTCTATTACTCACTGTACTCAACAGCTGGCATGCTGACTTTGTAACATCACTCTCCCATGCATTCAGGCAGTAAGAGTCCCACAGAACTCAATTTGGACATACTCACAAAATCAAACTCCCAGGCTAGGCATGGTGGCACATGCCTGTAATCCCAGCACTCAGGAGGCTGAGGCAGGAGGATCAATGTGAGTCCAAGACCAGCCTGGGCTACAAAGCGAGTTCCAGGACAGTGTGAACTTTTTAAGCAAAACTCTATCTCAAAAAGACTAAAAAACAAACAAAAAAATCAAACTCCCAGAACTGAATCTGAAGCTCAAATCTTAGTGTGACAACCCTAGAGAACGGATCTGAGCAAGGCAGTAAGCCAGGATTCCCCTCGAAATTGTGCACCAACCCTAAACTCCCCTAAAGGGTTTAAATGAAAAAGCATCTCTGACTCTGAGGACTCTTCAAAGATGTTTCAGTGGGGACATTATCTGTAGGATAGCACTGAACATCAAACAGCTATGACAGACTCGGAAGGGTTTATGTGAGAGAACAAACAATGGACAATGTCTAGAACTCGCCTCTCAACCACCTCACATATGAACTTTAGTAGTGCAGCCCCAGGAAACCTGAGACACAGCCTGTCCTCTCAGAAGTAAGAGCATCTAAGTCCAGGAAATGGGAATGCAGCCGAGACAGTGCTAGGCAGTGATTAGAGTCATCCTTCTGGAGAGGGAACCCTGACAATATCAACTGCCTGCAATCAACATGCAATTACCAGTTTACTGACACGCCTTTGCTCTGTACTTTCCGGGGCTTAGTCCTTAACTTAAAACAGCTCACCTGCTTAACAGTGTTCAGCTGCAGTAAAAGTTTCCTTTTTAACATACTTTAAAACAAACTCAGGCATAACCTCAACTCTTAGGTGGGATCTAGAGAAGCTGACCTCACAGACACACAGGATAGGACAGGAGTTCCCAGAGGCTGGAAAGGATAGGGGAGAAGCAAGATACGGAGAGATTAGCCATCACAAAATTCCAGTTAAAACTAAAATGTAAGTCCTGGGATTCTGTTATAGAGCAAGGTGACTATGGCTAACGATATTGTGTTCAGTATTTCAGACAGTTACCAAAATGTAAGATTTTGAATGTAATCACCACAAAGAAATGATAAATACAGAAGTAGATAAATATGCTAATAGTCCAGCCTAATGACTACAAAATGCAGATATGTATCAAAATATCCCTGTACTCTATTAGTATGTGCAATTATGTGTCAATTAAAAACTAAATTTAAAAACAACCTCATAGTTGTTTACCCACTGAGAAAAAGTGAACTGCAGTGATTCCGAGAAACATTCTTTATCATATTTTCCTTTTTCTGACGATACATCCCCAGTCATTTTTTTTGTTTTTTCATTTTGAGGCAGGGCCTAGGCCACTAAACTGCCCAGCAGACTGGCAACTACCCTAAAGCAGAGTCAGTGCAAGACGGACCTGGACCAGAGAACCACAGCAGTGCCCAACACATCCCAGACAAATTCTGGATGTAAGTACTATTTAGCTTATTGGAGTACCTAGGGCAAATGGCTCCACTTCTCTGAATGTGCTTTACCATCTTTAAACTTAGGGTAGCAATATCTAAAACCAGGGGGAGCTGAAGAAGTAACAGGGCTACACTTTCCAAGTCCAGAGTGTTTCCTCCAGGTGCCACTTCCAAGGCACAGTACAGGCACCATATTGTCTCATCTTCAACCAACCCCTACTAGCAGGTTCCATCATCCCCTTGCCAAATAAGGAAATCCCACCCCAGCTGGCTTACGATTGAGCCAAGGTTCTCCTCCAGTCTGTCAGCTTGCAAAGGGGCACTAATATTTCTGAACAAAGTTAGGTGCTCTGGAAACAGACTCCTATTTTGACATTATAATGACTCATGGTGCCAACTCTGAATCTAGTTCTCGAAAGGAAACTCACACGCTTCCACAGGGGCTCTAAGTAAGAAAGAACTTACAACAGAAAACAGAGCAGCCGTTAGTGAGCTGCTGTTATAGGAGAGAAAGGCTGCTCTAGCAACAAGAAAAATGAATGATAAAGCTCCCTACAGCTGAAAGCTCAGTGGACCCTCGCTGATTATTGAGGTTATTCATAATGTTGGCTACAACATCAAAGAAAAATCACACTCAGATAATTCTATCTACAGCCCCACTATGCCAAGTATGATGTGACCAGCAGCCGGCAGGAGGAGATTAGAAACGCCTTCACCCAAAGCCTCTGAAACAGTCTGCCTTTCATCCAGACCCCAGGGGACCCATGTGTGTGTTACAGCTGAAGCAGCTCTGGCCTCACACTCATGCCAGCCTCTTCATACACCGTGCCGCCTGTGCAGCCCAGTTTCCCCAAGTTCTCCGTGAGAGGCGTGACACTGAAGAGTACACCCAGCTAACTCCCAAAGATGCGGTAACTCTGTGTTCAGACAAAGCAGGTCGTTGCTGAGACACTTATTCTAAAGGGTCCTCTGAAGTAAGCTTTTCATCAGCCTCTTATTCTACTTTGATTTTAAAGAGGTCTGCATGTTGAATCAGCAAAGGGCATTTTAAGGAATATCTTTTCTGGGCAGAGCTGGGCAACATCAATATTGGGCATCAATCTGCAAAGGTGAAGTAAGTCACTCAATTAGAGGCATGAAATCAGGCCTTTAATCCAACACCATAGCAGCACCATCTGCAGGAATGCTAATTATCCTTCTAGCTCCAGTGCCTTTTCTTTCCACACTCTATCATTACTTTGGCAGTGCTTTCCATACCAAGGGTGCCAAATGGCTTGAGGAAGGACATCAGAATCGTTAATGCCCATGGCTAACTTCAACACTTTTACAATCTAATTTTTTTCATTATAAATGATTTTGTTGCATTTATTTGTCTTTTCTACCCTGGTAGGCTGTCTGTCTCAAGTCACTGAGGACGTTGCCTGTCCCACTTAGGATTCTGGCTGTAAAATCTACTGACCAAATGTCTACAGCTTGTCAATGATTAAGATGCCAAATCACAGGTAAGGTGATCATATCCTTCCCCACAGATGGAAAGGCAGCAGCTATAAACTGACAGTATTTCCCACTAGCCTAATGAAGGCTCTCAAACATCTGGTGGAACTAGCAGAGAGCGATGAGGCATATGCCAGTCAGAACCAGCATCAAGGTGGCGTGTGGGTCTGAAAATAGGCAGGCACACTAGCACCAGGCACGGTCCCAGTGTTAGCAGTCTAGAAAGCATTTCAACAAGAACAAGACAGTGCTGTCTGGAGATGCCATCTGAGCATCCATTCTCACTAAAATTAAATAATTCCAAGGACATGTCCATGCTGCTTTCAAGGAATTCACTCTTTTTTTGCCAAGTTTTTCAATAAAAAAGTATCAGAGATTTCTTTTTAGGAGTCAGATTCCTCCCCACCAACATGGCTTGCCAGACACAATTACATTCTCCTCTGGATATCCCTGGTCTGGAACTAGATGTTGTGTCGACAAGAGTGCCAAGCTGGTTGTTAGCACAGGCACTGCATAGGCATGTGGGGGCGGAGACTGCAGACCTTGGGTTTTGTTTTGTTTTTTGAGATAGGGTCTTGCTATAGATCAAGCTGGCCTTGAGCTCACCATGTGGCCCAGGCTGGCCTCAAACTCATGACAATCCTCCTGCCTCAGCCTCTCCAGTACTGGATTCCAGGAGTGCCCCACCACACCTGGCTAACATGTAGCTCTTAATTGGTTACTTTTGGTTTCAAAATTAGCTCCAAAGTCTTCCATAAAAACACTACATTTCCTATGGAACTCTCTTAAAATCAGACATGCCAGAGCCCTAGTATCTTCTAAATATTATAATAAAAGTTAATTTTTAGAAATGGTACAGAAGGCATGCCACCTACATATCCAAGTAACAAACTCACTGCTGACTTGCTTTGCAGTATTTGGCAGGCTCTAAAGTTTGCTGTATCCTTCTAGGATTCATCAGTCTATATATGGCAGCAGCAGAGTCAGCCTATGATGCTTCTCCCTGAAACTTGCCTAGAACCTGCTGAGCTCCCATATGCCGAGTACCAAACTCGAGAAGGCTAGGGAGGAATTAGCTGAGTCTCACAGAACTTCACTACCTTTATAGCAGAATATTTAAGGTTAGCTACTGTGCTGGAATCACATCAGCTCTTTTTGAAATGTTCACAGCAACACCTGAGAGAAGAGATCTACTAGCAGATGATCTAGCCAAAGCCACTGTGCTCACAGCTAAGTCAAAAACAATCAAGCATTTTCTGTACTGAAGGCAGACTGACAAAAACAAAGCAGAGAGATTCTCATCACCACAAATGGATCTCAGTATTTCAGGAATGTGACCAAGCAACAAATGGGAACAGACCCAGAATTACATAAAGCATAAGCCCAAGCTCATGATTGCCACATTTACTGAATACCTGTTATGTATAGGCCAGGTTTCTAGGCATTTACATGCCTATGCTCCTGTGAGAATAGGATACGATCAGCCCTACTATACAGAGAAGTTAATAGGGTGACACAGCCAACGTAAAGAGGAACTGGAACTCTGATCTGTGATGTCACCGCCCACTCTATGTTACCATGCTCTGCTCCAGTGCTGAGGACAGCAGCAACAACAGGAGCAGCAGGCCAGAAGCCCGGACTCCCAGGCCCCTGCCCTCCAGGGCCTTCTTACCTCCCGTCAGTTCCATGGTTAGCTTTTCATTTTCAATCATTTTCTTCTTTTCTTCTAGCTCAGCAATCAGATTCTCTTTCAGTTCAACCTTCTTGTCTTCAAATTCTTTCACTGCTGCTTTCTTTTCTTTAATATAATTTCTTTCCACTTGTTCAGTCTGAGCAAAAAAGAAACATAGGCTAGGGGTGTATGACCCGGGCAGCCAGAACTGCAACTCAAAGTCCAGCTCTGTCCTCAAAAGCAGAGAAATATTTTTACTAGAGACAGAAAAGCACCTTTGCTCACACACTTCAGTAAGTGGGCATCTGGGAACAGGTTTCCCAATGAATGTGCCATGTCTGCCACTCAGGTACTCCACTCCCCAGCATCTTAACCCTTTGGCTTTAACAGAACACAGATCTCTCAAAGACAGTAAATAGTACCTTTTAAGGCATAATTTCAAGAGAAAAATAGCATATTCCAGATCAAATATCTATATTCAAAATTAATTACGTGACACTGAGGCCAGACCTCATGGGTTATTACTTTTGATATTTACAATAAGATGAAAAACAACTACAGAAGATCATTTATTAGGTGCCTGAACCCTGGCGTTTTCAACAGCGAAATGAAATTACAAATTATTTTAAATTTCGCAGTGTACTAAGTTATGAACAAGGAGGCTTCAGTTGGGCTGTGGCTGTGGATCACATCCTTTAGGCAGACACTACATGCACTGGACTTCAGTACTTAAATGGTTCCCAGTAGCAGGGCTCTAGACCTGCTATGGTCTAGACTACAGTCTAAACTATGACCTTCTCAAAAAGACCCCACAAATACACACCACCCCAGGAGAAGTACTGGATTTAAGACCCTGGCCCTAATCTCTACACCGCAGAACTGAGCCTGACATGGAAGCAGCATGGAGATATCTATGGAATGGAAAAAAAAAACATTAAAACCTGTCCTTCCACCAGCCCAGAGAGTTTCAGGTATAAAATGGATCTGTTGAGCCAATTCAGAAATTGGACTGCTTCAAGGGCGACTATCAAATTAATAAGTCACTACAAGACAGAATCTTCCAAATGAGAGGCTTAAGGAGTGAGTAACCCCAACCCCTGAGGTAAACAGAAGCTGCTCAACAAGAAGTGAATAGCTCAGTGGTGGCAAACGTATGGCATGCATGCCGGAGTGGACTGTCTGTGTCACTGAAAATTCTGAAAGGTTTAGACTCTGAAAGGAACAGATGGACTGTCTGAAGTAAGACCAACTGTCCTGTAATGAAACAAAAGGGCAATAAAAACTTCCAAAATATTTTGTCAAAGACAGAAAGGCTGTCAGTTTCAGAAAGCCGGATCCTAGTTTCACAAAGAGCCTCCAAACCCAGAAGGTCTGTAGTACTTACTTCCAGTTGGAGGAAGAGTTCTGAAAGAGATAAAAAGTACAATTAGATTCGCTAGGCATGTCGCCTTTCTAAACAGGCATGTTAGCATTTATTTAGAAGCTGTAATTGCTTTCTGAAAGCACATTACACAAAGCAGTAAAGTGCTGACACTCATGCAAGGTAAAGATGCAAGGAGTACTCCTGTCTAGTTACAATTTGCCCCTGAACAGAATCAGCACTGGCAGTTCTGCCTGAGGGGAGAAAAACAAGCAGTAAAACCAAACTATGTTGGCAAAATAAGTCAACTCCTCTTTCACTGAGTCTTCACTCTGCCACAGTTGCAAGGACTGCAGGACAGATCAGGAAGACACACGGCAACTTCCTAAGAGAGTCTGCCTTGATGTTTTGAAAGTACTGCATGGAGGATCCCATGTGATACGGATGGATGCTCCCAGGGAATCCAGGACAGAGGTTCCAGGGTTTCCTTGCAGTTTACTACGACACCAAGCTCAGCCCACACTGAAGCTCCTGCCAACCACACGCTGCCAACCATATACTCGCACTCCAAGCTCCTGGTCTAAGGCAGCCCCCAGCCTGCGATCTTTCTGGGCAGGCCTCTCCCTCATCAAGCTCCTCCTGGACATCCTAAAGTACCCTCCCCGAAGTATTTGGCACCTACCCACTGAGCAACTTTTCCTAGAAGTTCCCTTCCACTACACTGTAAGGCCCTCTACATATCCAATATATCAAACCAAATAAATCTGGGCTCCTAATCTGTTCTGAGTTAGAGGACCTGCTGCAAACGGTCCGCGAAGACTACTGGTAAGCCAGGAACTGTGCGGGTACCCACTACAGTCTACCTTGGTTTTCTTTAGCAATCTAATAAACCCTACAGACTCATTTCCCAAAAAAATGCACATTTACACATGCTCTATCAACTTCTTTGGAATTTTAAGAAGCCCAGATGTCAATGAACAAATTGTTAGATAAGAAAAATTAACTTGAGGAAAGAAACAAAGCACTCATCATTTTCTAGCCTGGGAATCTTTTTCAGTCCTGGAAATCATGCGGCACAGGAGTCCAAATACACCCAGCCCGATATGCTCACTCCCATGCCTACTTCAGAATGTACCATCCAAGAACAAGCTAGACACCTGAAGTCCTATACTGTAGAGAAATCACACCTGCACCAATGAGACAAAATGACAATTAGCACTTAGAGCTGGCAGTTGTTTCAGTTAAAGCAGGCAGACACCAGACACAACCAAAGCAGGTGGGTTATTTCTGCACAGAATGGGCTTTTTAAAGCTCAAGTCATGACTGATTTAGGAGCTCTTCCTCATTTTCACCTGGAGGGAAGAAATGTTTATGAAATAACACACAAGGACAGGATCTGTGTCTGTGAGAAGAATTAAGAAAAACAACAATACTCATCCTACTGCTCTAGTGTAAGAAAAGATGGCACGCATCAATTTCCTTATTTACATCTTAAGCTGATTCCTTGAGAGATCAGCATTCCCCTTACAGATGGGAAACTGAGGATCCACAAATAAATACCCTTATTTAAAGGGACAGATCCAAAGAAATGGAAGTGGGATCTGAACCTCAGGCCATGCCCTTCCACAATGTCCTGACCTTATTGAGGGGAACACCAGCAAGAGGAGTGATGATTTTAATGACATCCCAAGGAGGTACCTTGGAGCTCAGAATGCAGTGAGGGTAGCACCAGGGACAGGGAATGAGGAGGCAGAAGACTAACGGCTGCAGCGCCACTGTCCCAGTGCCCCATACTGCTCAACTGCTTTTCTGTCTGCTGGTGCACACTGGATACACTGGACTTGCTAGGGTTAAAGACGAAAGCTTCCAAGGAGAGGGAGCTAGAGCTGCTGCCTCAGAAGTCAAGACAGGAACATGGCAGTGACACCCACACCTTGTTTTAAAATGTTATTTCTACTATGAGAACAAAACGCAAAGGCACCCCACTGACTGGCACAGTGAACTTTAAAATTTAACACACACAGTTTCCTGTAAGCTCAGGAATTTGTGTTTACAAACTTTAAATAGGTGCCACACCTTCCTTTCCACATGATTCTTCACTCAATTCACAATGTTCCTTAACTTTAGACACACTGGTATCTTTTGTCAATAAAACATGAGTTTCCTACAGTCAAGGACAAACATTATACTGCACACAGTGCTTACATGTAACAGATGCCCAACAAATACGTTGAACAAAAACAGTTACTAGGTATAACACAATAAAAACATGCTCCTTTATTTCTCTCAATGTTTATTATACCACACTTAAGTAAAATAGAGGATACCTCCTCCCTAGAGCACAGAATTTGAGAAGCAATAAATTTAAAAAGTATGAAACAATCTACAGTCTTTTCCCACAGCAGCATTCCTGACTGACCACCAAGCCAGCCATGCAGATGTGACCAATCACAGACAAGACACCTCTTGGACACCAGGAAGGACAACTTGAGGACAAGCAGCCACCACTACCATCACTGGCTGCAGGGACAAAGATCAACCAATTGTATTAACTGCGCCTTTGGACCCTTTCTCCCCCAAAAACCTCCCCTCAACAAAGTATCTGCGATAGACTTTGGGCGACAGCTCTTAGAGGCACGCTGCATGGGCGATATGGTGGGACATTTGAAGATGGTTCTCTTCCACATCACAGAGCCTCACCTGCGTTTCGGATCCTCTCTTTGTACTGCTGATCCAGCTTTTTCATTCTCTTCTGGTATTCCTGCAATGTACCTGATTTTGAGCATTTACAAAATAGAAAGTTATTCTAAAGATCGGTCTGCTCTACACTTTATTTTCTAAAGTCATTTTCAATTGATAGTGACTATTTTATTAGTGCCAGAATAACATAAACTTAGGAAGGCCACATTTGATAGTTACCTGGATTTGGGGTCTCAGCCAGAGCACACAGCAGGTCCCACTTGAGGCCCATGTGAACTCCACCCCACCTCAACACATCAAAACTCTCCACGTATGAGGGAACTAAAGGGGTATAGACACCCCCAAGTGGTCCAGCTGCTTACTACAATGGGCCTCCCTTTCCCAGAAAACTAGCATTCTCTGACAGTAAGGTCTGGTCAAAGCTGGCTGGCACAGCTTTCTACAATGGTAGAAATTTTTTCCACTTGCACTGTCCAGTGGGGTAACCTCTAGCCACAGGTGGGGGCTTCAGTACTTAAACACAACTACTGCAACTCAAGAACTGAGTTACGCATTTTATTCACAAGTGGTCAAACAGCCACATGTGGTCAGTGACAGTACCAGACAGCTCAGGTATAGATTCTGAAATCTCCTTTCACAGTTCTTCTTCGAAGGGTCCGGCTTGTGTGGAAATGCTTCATGTTCACAGAGCTTGCCCACAGGTCACTCCAAGAAAGCAGATCACTCACTAGCTATACAAAGTGTCTCGCACAAAAGCAGTTCCACTGACAAGGCACTCCATACATGGCACTAAAGCGCTAAGGGCAGCAGCTGACCCTCTGCAGGGTCTCATGCTGTGCCCAACCCTGCACTAGATGGCGCTCTGTTTCCTTCCATTTTGAAGATTAAAAAACCAATTAGGTAGGGGTTGGAGAGTTAGCTCAGTGGTTCAAACACTCACTTGGTAAGTGCAAATTCAACCCCCGGTACAAAAAAAAAAAAAAAAAATTAAGCAAGAGAAATTGATATGCTCAGGTCATATACAAAGTGAAAACGAGAGCCCCAGCTCTATCATGGAACTAGAGGGCCTGCATTTTTAAAACTCCGTGCTGTACGCCTTTAGGGACCAATAGCACTTGATAAAAACCATCCATTTATAATCTGCCAAACACAAAATAGCAAACACTGGATAAGCCACAGTCTATTAACATTTGTTTTGGAAAGAAAAATAAGCCAGATGTGCTAGCACACAATCTCAGCATTCTAGGAAGCTGAGGCAGGAGGATCCCAAATTCAAGGCCAGTCTGGGCAACTCAGGGACTTAGCAAAATCCTGTCTCAAAAGAAATTAAGGGGCCAGGTGTGGTGGCACACTCCTGTAATCCCAGCATTCAGGAGGCTGAGTTAGTAGGATTATTGCAAATTCAAGATCAGCCTGGGCTACAAAGTGAGCCCAACACCAGCCTGAACCGCATAGAAAGATCATCTCAAAAAGACAAAAAAAGAAAGAAAGAAATTAAGAAATTAAGGGGTCAGGGATGTAGTTCAGTGATGCAACACCTGCTGGCAAGCATGAAGCCCTGAGTTCAATTCCTCACAAAAAGAACCTAGAAATTTAAGAGGGGCTGGAGATGCAGCTTAGCACAAGACCTTCAATTCAGTCCTCAGTCCATACACAATTTAAAAAGTAAGGTTTTCTTTTTTACTAGTAACATCCCTCCTAAAAATACTTAGCTCCAGAAGGCCTCAAACATGGTTCCACTTAAAGAACTTACTACCTATTGAAAATAAGAGTTTGAAAGTTACCACCTCATTGATCAGACAGTAAAATATGTACTGGATAAAATCAGCTACACTAAATTTTCAGTTGCTCCCACCAAGAAGTAAAATACAAAGCTTCAGGGGGGTTTAGATTAAGAAATACTTAGAAACAAAGGAGTCCATCACAACCAACCTTCCTGCAGTTGTTGCAGCTGCCTCTTGAGAGAAGCCAGTTTGTCCTGATACATCCTATAAAAGAAAAACCACACTGAAGATGAACGCACCAGTCCTCAACTCTAAAATACCCTCATCACAGGGATTACTGGGTCTGCTGCAGGAAGCTCATCCATGTTCTTCAGGAAAGAGAGGTTTACAATGTAGCTAAACAAGGTCAGAAAGGCACAAGGAACCAGGTCCATCCGTGCATGCCTGCAAGTCCAAGCTGGGAGGCCGAGGCACTTAGAATCACTCAGACCTACCAGTTTGAGACTAGCATAGTGAAATCTCATCTCAAAAAAGAGAAAAGAACAAGGGTTGCATAATCTTTAATTATATCCTAATTTCCTAGATTCTTCTGTTACCTCACCTTTAGAGAATCACTCTAAGACATACAAATATGAAGACAACAGATTTTAATAAAAACCAGTAATAAACAAGGTTAAGCAAGAACACACAAAGAAAAATTTAAAGCATGATGTCATTTTCTTCCGGGTTTAAAAGTAAAAGTAACATATTGAACACAACTGTTATTTCAACTCAATTATATTATAAATTCCAAAGGAGCAAGATTATGCCCCCGGCATGTCTTTACACAAAGAGCACAGCTGAATAAGCATTAAGTCAATAAATCTTCATGTCACTCTTAAAAGCATTATTCTTCCAGGATCAGAAAAACAGTAATTCGGAAACAAAAATTAAAATGGAACATTCATTTGCAGCCCTGGCTATATAAAAACATACAAAATAAAAGAACACGGCACATTATTTTTTATTAGGACACATCTGCAGTACATGTTTACATTCATCTTGTGGAGCAAATACAAGTACTTATTATTCCTTAACATATCTTAATGTTATTCCCCTTCCTTCTCCTCCTTTTCCCTTTCTTGCTTTTAGATTCCCTTCCCATTTGCAAAAGATCTCTCCATTTTCTTTTTAATTATTGACACTTTGGTTTTCTCATATAAGAGAAGTTAATGCGATATTTAAGCTTGTGCATCTGATTTATTTCACTGAACATTATGGCCTCAAGATGTACTCATTTTCTTACAGATGACTCAAATATAGCCCTCCTATAACAGGCTAGTACTCCATAAAACCGAAATACCACATTGTGTTTATCTGCTCATCTGTTGATGGATGCACAAATTAGCAGCAATTACACAATGGCAAACCCATTTGAACAGTAGACTCTGTAAGTAGATCACATTTCCACAATACTTTGGGTTCTATCTAAAAACACCCACAATTTCTCAGTGACAAAACGGCCTGTGATCTCAGCACTCTGAGAGACTGAGGCAAAAGGAATACAAGTTTGAGCCCAGCTTGGACAACTTAGCCAGACCTTGTCTCAAAAAACAAACAAAAACAAAGGGCTAGAGATATAGCTCAGTGTGAACACTCTGGGTTCAGTCACCAGTGCCAAAAAGATAGCAGGATTTGCAACCTGAAAGAACACTGTCCAATGTGTGCTAGGTGCAGAGTAATCTAATTGTTCAAATATGGCTGAAGTAGACAGCTGAGCACTCTGCAGCCAGGGGAAGCGCAGCAGAATCTGAAAAGCCCCGGCAGGGCTGCTGCTTTAGGGGAAATCTTGAGCAACCCTCCATGCTCACCTGGAATCACAAAAGGCATTCAATAAAATCCAAATTATTTTCTCATTCAGGGAGTACATTCAATCAAAAGATGATCTCTGAAAATGATGCTGAAATGTATCAAGTACAGGAAACAGTGCAAATGCATGAACGCACATGTCAATATTTGGAACCCCGGATGCTAACTTTCCCACATGGATTTCCAGCCAATTCCTGTGGCTGAGTGTGTCTTTGAAAGGGTGTAAAGACAAACTGAAGAAAGAAACTTCTCAGACTCACTGAGGTCATGCATGGGGAAAAGAACAGGTGTGTGAAAATATATCTTAAATGGATCAAGGTGAATCAATAAAACACTTGCAAAGATAAAAATGAAGCACAGTTTCAGGATAAAACTGAGAAAGATCACATGAATTATTGTAAGCAATCCTTCATCCACCACTAGTCCGACTCACTTGAGTTATCCACTTTGGGTTCCCAAGCTTGAAAAGGATGACAGAATCCACATGCTGGTTACAAATATTTGTAAATAGGACCTCAAAGGGAGAGAATGTAGGTCATCCAGTTTACAAGAATTTAAAAAGTCAAATCAAGATTCTCAAAATGCACTCAATAAATACTTATTAAATATATCTTCTACTGCCTTCTATCTGGGTGTGGGATTAAAAATGCATGGGGGTGGGGCTGGGGATTTAGCTCAGCGGCATGAGCACCTGCCTTGCAAGCAGACAGCCGTGAGTTCGATCCCTGGTACCGATAAAAAGGAAAAAAGGAAAAAAGACAAAAAAAAAAAAAAAAAAAAAAAATCTAAAAATGCATGGGGGCAGCGGTTCGAACTTGCTGTCCCAGCTACAGTAGAGGGGAGGTGGAGGCTGGAGGACAGCTGGAGTTTAATGTCAACCTGAGCAACATAGGAAGATCTAAGTTCAAAAAAAAGAGGGGGGGCTGGGGATTTAGCTCTGCGGCATAAGTGCCTGCCTTGCAAGCAGGCAGTCATGAGTTCGATTTCCGGTACCGGTAAAAAAGGAAAAAGACAAAAAAAAAAAGAGGGGAGGGAAGGGGAGGAGACAGAGACCACAGAGCGGGGGGAAAGAGAAAAGAATGGGGTTGTGTTTCTTTGGTTAGGCTGGCTGTAGCTGTCTGCAGGCCTGTGAGTGTGGACCGCCTGCTCCCCAAGCCTGGAGCTCTCTGAGCCTCTGGCACATAGCGTTCGAAGGAGTCAGCACTCAGTGCATTCACACCTATCTGAGCCTAATCGCTTTAAGGGACTATGTATCCTCTCATACTGGTTTTCACTTCCCAAAATAAAAACCTGGTGAAAGGTTCTCTCCTGCTATATACTCTCTCCTCTGGGATCTTTTTCATCAAAGTTCTTCCTAGCCTACATTCAAGAGATTAAATGAGACTAAAGTTTAGGAAACAGTTAGCCAGGAGTGAAGAGGCCGGCTTGGGCAAATTAGCAGGACCTTGTCTCAAAAACAAAACAAAAACCTAAAAGACTGAGGCTGTAGCTCAGGGCTCCCTAGGTTCAATTCCCCAGCAGCATTTAAAAAAAACAAAAACACACGGTAGAAAGGTGTGAGGTTTGCTCATAGGCACTGGAAGCATTATGATCAAAACACAGTCATTACACACAGTCATTACAAAGACTTTCTTATCAATTCTAAATACCAGAAAATAAAATACAGAAACCATACTCACTGTTCCTTCATTTCTACATAATCTTCATCATGCTTTGCCAGGTCAGTTTCACTAGCATCCTCAGTGTCTGAGTAAAATTAGGGAGAATGGGTAATTAAAATCAAAATTCCTAGACTGGGTATCATCTCACACAGGGTAAATACTTAATAAACTTCTATTCAGTGCAAACCTACATGAAAGTACCAGTGAAAAATATTAAATATAGTTAATAAAGAAAAGAAAACATCATTTCCAACTCATACAGAGTTGGGAATACATATGGGTGGCTAGTCAAGGTATCTAATTATGCAGTAGTCACATTTGCCATTGGGGACACAAGCTTAGTGTGCACTAACATTGGACAGAGCAGGCAATCAAGCTTACTCTGACACACCCCGTGTCTGATACATACAGTGAAAATGAAAAATCTCGCAACAGATTGAATTGTAACACCTGAAATATTTTCAAAGTTACAACAAAAAGCAAGAGAGAAGCAAGATGATGATTAAACAAAAACTCGTTTCAAAACATTTGAAACACTGTTCTTACAAACAGCAAATGGCTGGAGCGAACCAATTTCAACAGTCCTACAGTACAGCAGAAGAAAAAAAATCAATTGTGATTTCAACACGCCTCCATGTGGCCATCAAAGGCAAAGCAAGTGCCTTGTCTTCAAATGCAGTTAAACCAAGCGCAATTAGTTTCAACTTTAAATCCCACATACGCAGCTGCCTTCTGAAAAGCTGCTGCTGATCCAATTCTCCACAAACTCTTCTCCTTCCTGCAAAGGAAGAGAACGTCACTGAAGTCTTACCATGTGTTAGCGAGCCACATTACCTAGAACCTGGGAAACTGGGATAAATAAAACACTAATCATGCCAGACAGCTGGACTAGCTCCAGCTTTATGGCCCTACTCTATGCTACATTACTCTACTCAAAATAATGGACTCTATATCATTTATTCCCCTTTTTACCTTCCTCTTCCTCCGGCCGGCTCCTTGGCCAGAGGAGCTCCAAAATGATGGTCCTCACACTTACCAAAGGGTCCTCACACTTACCAAAGGGTAAAACGCAAGGCTCTGAATTTCAAAAGCAAGAATCTGAGAGACAGTACTGATAATGTAAAGAGCATGAGAGGGGAAAACACATCTGGGCATGAAAACGCTGGTGATGAAAACGCTGAGCACCAGGCCAAATAATTGATGCACATCTCATTCAATCTTCATCCTACCCCAGGAAGTAGGCGCCGCTGCGAGCTCTACTACAGCTGAGTAAATCAACGTCAGAAAGCTTACGTTCTCTAACGCTACAAGGCTAAATGTCATAGCCAAAAACCTATCTTCTTCTTTTAACCAACCTGCTCTATTCTCACAGCATGCACTGTACCACGCGAAGTACAGCAGCCTTACGCCTTTCAGAGAAAGAGACTGGGGAACCAGAAAGCCAAGTTGAGCTTTGCTTTGATTCTCTCAAGGAAAAAAATCAAAACGGGAATATGACCCAATGCACTCAACGACTTTCCCATTCCCACTAAGGAAATCCACAGATGGACGGGGACGCGATGAAGCCTTAAGAGACCTCCGGCTGACTACGGCTAGCCCCCTCGCTCTCCCCATAGAGACGCACCCCAGAGCTTCTGCCCTTTCCGGACCCTGGCCGAGATGCCCCGCTCCTCCAGGCTGCCTCCAAACCCGGAGGCCGCCCCGCCCCCTCCAGCGCGGCCCCACCTCCTCCCTAGGCGTCCCGCTCCCGCCAGGACAGCCCGGCTAGCCGAAGGACTCACCCTCATCGGACTCCCGGCCTCGACAGCTGCGCTCGTCATCCTCGGCGCTCTCCAGCTCCTCGTCCTCCTCCGGGTAGTACTCCGGGGCCGGCGGCGCTCCAGCCGGGGCCGGAGCTGGAGCCAGCAGCCCCGCAGCACTCATGTCGCCTCCGACTGCAGCTGATTCTGTCCCCGGGAAACCGCGGCCACACGCACTGGGGACGTGGCCTCCCCTGAGCTGGGACCCAAGAAGCCCCCGACTCCAGCACCTGGAGCCACGGCGACCCCTTCCCTGTCTGCGCCGAGCTCCGCCCCCCGCGCCCGCGCTCGGCAACGGGGGCCTCACGATGCGGGCGACTTCCGGGTTGCAAGCTGCCCGATGACGGCCTGACCCCGCCATCCTTGAGAAAAGGAGAGAACTCCAGGCTCTCCGTTATCCAGATTTCTAGATCCTTCATCAGCGTCTTAATGTCCTCAGTGGGTTCGGATGGGAAGGTGCGGGGGGGGTGGGGTAGGCGTCCTGGACTCAGGCAAAGCTCTGGATAGCCCAAACCACAGTTAGGACCTCAGACCTCAGAGGACAGTTCTGGAAATGGCCGCCAGGCGGCGCCCAGGGTCAGAACTAAACCAAGGACTTAGGGGGCGAGGCGGGGGGCGGGGCGGATTGGCAGCGCCCTTGACAGGTGGGACTGATCGCTAAGCAAGTGAACGACTTGAACTGTCCGTACAAAAGGTCAGGAAAACCAGACAACCTGAGAGTGCGTGAAGCAGCAGAAAAAAAGGAAGCTTAGCTCCTCCCCTGATTTAACTGGACCTTTGTTAGGAAATAAAAGACTATGATAGACACTGATATTCCATCCTAAAATCAGCAAAACCGTATTTCCCACTCCTTGGGAATCCCTTTGTGTGGGTTTACTGGGTAAGGTGTGCTCAGGATTTTACCGATGACAAAAGACCCTGCCTTTTAAAAAATGGTATGGTACAGTCTCCATGGTTTAGACTTCCAGACGCGGGGTCGTCCACAGCACAATTGCCCCATATTTCTTTGAACATTAATTTTTTTTAAATTTTGCCTAATCCCAAAGCTTGCTAACCAACTCTCAACAAATGAAGCTTCTGCCTATAGTAAGTAATTAGGCATAAACTCAGAAAACAAGAAAGCTGAGCATCTCCATGAATTTGTAATTCCTCCTGAATTACAAATGGGGGGATCACAATGTTGTAAACGTTGCTTAACAAAGAAATTAGGGATACCCCTTTCTATAAAAACAGTGCTGTCGAGTTGCGTGTAGAAAAAAAAATTAAGGAAAAGGGCCCAGAGATGTGTTGCGCTCAAGTTCCCATAGAAGCAGTAAAACAGAACACAGCTGTGGAAGCAAAGGTGAAACCAAGCGTACTGATTCTCAGACCCTTTGTGATCCGATTTATCTTGAAATTGGCCCCTGAGGAGTCTTCTAAAAATGAAAAACCTTACTCTCATCCAACTTGTTTTGACATTTCTTATTTATTACCTTGTTTTAATTAAATTATTGGCTCTCCTTCTAAAAGTACTTTCTTCCCAACAAAACTGCAAGAATTTGCAAAACAGAATGCTACAATGTCTTTCCAGGAGATCCGAGACCTTCTGAAACTCCTTGTAAATAAAAACTCTCAAGGCTCACTGTACATCTGCCATCTGTGTTTAAACTAGGATTTCACAAATGTCTCCTGCCCAAAGTATGAAGTCATTTTCTATTTTTGTGCAGTTGAATCACATCTAAATTATTTGTAATCAACTGAATTGAGCAACTTGAGTTTATCAGTAGCAATGTTCATAAAGCAGAGAAAGAACCAATAAAATTTTAGAAATCAAAGTTCGTTAATAAAATAAATCCAAAAAAGTTTTCATCATTAAGTGGTTTCAAGACATTAAGGTCTTATCTTGCTTATGTTACTTTTTATTGGAAACAGCATCTCTTAATAGTCGTGTATTTTTTATATGTAATACAGACAAAAATAAATTTTACACTTAGGTAGTGAAAATTTACTTCATCTTTTCTATCCAGAGAACTGACAGGATAATCTCTTAGCTAATAAACTGAAAAACCTTTTTAAAAAAATTCACGGCTTTAGTCTTACTTACCTTATAGGTTTTTTTTTTTTTTTTTTTTTTTGGTTTTGTTTTTTGTTTGTTTGTTTTCCTTTTTATTGGTACCGGGGATCAAACTCACAACTGCTTGCTTCCATGGCAGGTGCTTATGCCGCTGAGCTAAATCCCCAGCCCCACCTTATAGTTATTTAACATGATTTGAAACAGCCTTTCTGTGTAACAATCAAATTCCCTAAGTTTTACCAGCTGAAATCTTTCTTCCCAAAACAGTTCTCAGCCACACTGCTAAAGAGACATTTTCAGAAATCAACCTAAACCCAAGTCCTGACCACTCTGTTTTAACGACTTTTTATACCTTCCAGGCATTTCTACATCCCACAGACACTTAAAAATGTTCTTAACTGGAATGGGGAACAGTATTTTTTCTTGATTTATGACTTATACAATTTTTAAGTAGGAGAAATACATACTGTTTAGAACACAAGTTTCATCATCAAGTCTTTTTTAAAAGGGAATGATGTTCGTGAAATGTAATTTCTTCATAAAATGTTTTCAAAGTCCATAAACTTAAGGGTTTAGAGAACAGCAAAGCAGTTTTCAGTTTGCACTGTTGATTTAATAACATAGGCTGTTCACAGATATTCAATAATGGTCCTTAGTAACGTCACATACTTCAATCCTAGCAGAAACCACCTTTCAGTTTGGGTGAAAATGGGTCTCTGGTTATCAGGTTGCACTTGGGTGAAAGCTCAGTGACCTTTGGCCATTAGTTCACACTGAACCATTGAAACCTGTGAGCCAGTTACCGGTTATATTCAAAGTACTTCCTCCAACCTTGTTAAGGCTAACATGGATTCTAGCACAGTTCTTATTTCGCTCTCCTAAAACCCACAAACCGAACACTTAAATTTTGTCCTTGGGCCTGTTAAAATATGCCCTCTCCTTGTTGAACATGTAGTTGTAGAAGATGCACCTACTACGTAATTTTTTTCCCTAAAGTATTAAATTGACGTTTGTTGAACAATTCAAGAAAAGGCACTCCCCTACCAGATCAGGAAATATTTCCAATGCGTAAGCAAATAAATGTTCTATTAATTTATGGCAGGATTACTTTGAAGGTTCAAAATTACTAACGTCAAGCACGAGAGCGGGATCCTTCCCCAAAATCTCTTTCATGGTGGTCTCTAGGAGTCCCCCCAAAAAGGCAGAGGGAGAAGTTCCCTGAACTTTGACCCCAGAGCCACACAAACAAGAAGGACCGCACCCCTAGCTGGGCCGTGAGTAACTAAAGTCTTGAGGTCTTCCGCATCTGAGGAATCCCCGCCCTCAAATCCCGCCCACCATCAACTCCACCAATCCTCGGGCAGCATCGACCTCTCGGCTTCCCAGGTAAGTCCAATCAAATGCCTATATCCGGCTTCGGCCCAGTGCTCAGACATCAGGGAAAATCAGTAGAGAGCCTATTGGAGCAGGGCTGGGGGCGTGGTCATGGGCAGGGGGCGGGCGGATTGAGACGATGGGGCGGAGCACGCTCGGCGCAGTCCGGTGCGATTGGCCACCCCTGGCAGGAGCCGCACCTCGGACAGCAGCGGCGGTGGCCGCGGGAGGGTCGGTGTGGCGCGGGACGCGGGGTCCTGTGTGGAGAGTGAAGCGCGACGAGGAGTCCGCGGGCGGAGGCTGCGTGCAGCCGGATTCGGCACCCGGCGACCCGACGGTCCGTCAGGGAACACCTCACAGGAGCGCGACTCGGGAACAAGTGTGGGAGAGAGGAAGCGGCGGTGCTGGCGGCGGCGGCGGCGCCGGCCCCGCGGTGGTGACAGCGGGTCTGAGGTGAGAGCTGAGGGCGCAGGGTGCTGACAGCGTGCGCCCCGGCGTGGGGACCCTGGGCGTAATGAGGTCGCGGAGGACACGAGGGAGCGGAGTTCCGGGAACGGCTCTGACAGTGTTGGCCGTGGCGGCGAGACCCCGAGAGGGACCAGGACGGCGGGAGGGACGGAGGGGACCTCAAGAGCCGCCGGGACGGCTGGGGGGCGGGGAAGGGACCCCGAGAGGAACCCGGACAGCAGGGTGAGAGCTGGGCCCCCGAGCGAAGAGGACAGCAGAGTGAGAGAGCAGATAGGAGAGGGACTGAGTCCGAGTCAGAGGAACGGGGCCCCAGCGGGTGTAGGGCAGAGGATCGGAGAGCAGGGCACCCCGCGAAGAGCCAGTCAGAAAATGGGAAGAGAATCCCAGGAAGGCTGAGGAAAGCGGGGTGAGAGGAGGGCACTCGGAGGGGAGCCACGACCGCGGGATAAGGGCACAGGACCCCACGAGGGACCAGGGCAGTGGAGTACGGGGAGGGGTCCCTGAGAGGAACGGGCACAGCGGCATAAGGGAGAGGGTTCCCCTAAAGCAAGGCGAGCGGAGGAGACCCGAGAGGGACCCGGACGTCCACGAGACGGCGAGCGACGGGACCTCAGATGGAGCGAGCGGGGTCCCCAGGAGGGGCAGGGACCCCAGGAGGGCAGACTCTATGAGTGCAGGAGGGGGTCCTTTGGAAAAGCGGGGGTAACGCAGGGAACTCTAAGTAGGCTTAAGACCGCTGGAGCCCGTAGCGGGGCTGCGAGAGGGCGGGTCCCCCTCCCTTGTGTAGTGCGGGGCTGGCTGAGAGAGTGGCGAGAGGGAGGCGCCCGCTGAGTTGTGGGACCCGCCCCCCGACCTCCCCCAAGACCCCCGGTACTGCCGCGGCGGGAAAAAGCCAGCAGCACAGGCGAGGGGACACGGGCGCTGCCCCAAGGGCTGGGAATCCGCGATATTCTTGAGAGTAGAGCCCGGGGGTACCCTGCGGAGACGGAATTATGTAAGAAAGCATCTCCGGAGTGGGACGCTGGGGTTGGGGGCTGGTGGAAAGAGCTGGGAAAATCAAGAGTTGTGCTGCCTGACCTCTTCTCCCTCACCCGCTGGTTTCCGATTCAGTTCTTGGAGTTTGATGTGGATGCCTTGAAAGTAGGGGATTCCTGACCTTAATTGAAAAGACTGAGTAAAAAGTTGGAGTTTCTTTAAGCCCACTCCAAGAAGTTGAAAGGGAAATGGATCCTTCCTTCTGGAGACCCACATTTTGGTTTAATTAAGATGTTTATTTCATCTTTGTATTTTCCTAGACTGTTTTGGTTTTCTTTTCTTTTCTTTTTTTTCATTTTAACTCAACAAAGAGTTAAAAAGAAACTTTTTCAGATTTGGCAGCACAACACTATCAGTGTTTGCAAAGCAGATTTGAAGGGACTGTGCTGTATACCAGATCTGAAATTGAGGTTACCTTTGGTGAACTGGCTCTTAGTTGGA